GGCGGGGCTGCTCACGTGGGCATGTCCACAGCAGCGGGGGGGGCGGGGCTGCTCACGTGGGCATGTCCACAGCAGCAGGCAGAAGGGCTGCCCGGCTGGCCAGCAGTCACCAGCCCAGCCCTCCAGAACGGCTCTGGCCGCCCTGGGCCAGCCGGCTCCCGCCTGGGCCGGGCCCTGGGCCCAGGCTCAGCCCCGGCCCCTTCTGGCCGCCCGCCGCCCTGCGGGTCAGCATGGCTTCCGGGGCACCTGCTGGGGCAGGAGGTGGCTGCTGCTGCCCCACAGCAGGCCCCGCCCACTCCACCTGCCCCCCTTCAGGACGGGCAGCCTGGCCGCGGGGAAGCTCAGGCTGCCTTTGGGGGTGTCCTCCGGCGGCGGGGGAGCGGCTGAGGTTGGGGAGCCCCACCAGCTACGCCAACACCTATGCCTCGCTCTACCCCAGCTCTCACTGAGCACCAGAGGCCCTGCCAGGCCGCGGGCCGGGCCCGCTGCACAGCGCCCACAGACCGCGGGCGCAGGGAGCCAGAGGAAGCCCCCTGGCAGGAGTGGCCTTGCTCCATGGGGGGCCTCCCAGGGCGGTGGAACTGTTCGCGGCTTCCTGAGAATGCTCTGGAGGCTGACAGCCGCTGCCCTCTGCCCAGGGAGGTGACCCCGCCCACCGGGGTCCCGCCCCGCCACCCCCTCTGCAGCCAGCCCAGCCTCATGCCCTCATCTCAAACGGGCCAAGTCATCCCAGAGACGTGCGTGGCAGAGACCTGAGCATCGCGGCTCAAAGCCAGACCGCACAGGAAAGTCCCCGAGACCCTCATCTCCCAAGCAAACACCAGAAGACTGGACATGAAGCTGGGCTCAAAGCGGGAGAGCGCTCGCCTCCAGCAAAAGAGCTCAGGAACGGCACCCAGGCCTCACAACCAGCCAAAAGAAAGAAGAGAGTAAGATTCTCCACCTTTTAAAGGACTCGGAGGGAGGAAGGGACATCTCTAAACACAGGTGAAGGGAAGTGGTCCCGGTACCCGTGGCTTCCAGCCAAGAGCCCGACATCTGTGCTGTGTGGCCGTCTGCAGTGGCCTAGGGCCACCGGGCACAATGCTGGGGTCTTGTGGGAAGTGTCATCTCCATCCTGACAACAGTGGCCCGGGCACCGCGCGGCCACGCCACCCCCGGGTGGGTGCCTTCCGTCCTGAGGACCTGTGTCAGCCAACAGGGCCCCTGCCTCTCCTCCAGCCAGGGAGCAGCGTGGGCTCTGTCCACTGGCGACCTTTCAGACGCAGAGGCCCGAACAAGCACCCCCTCTCCCTCCCCCCAGCCGGCACCCGGCTGGCGCGCTCCGGGAGGAGGAGGCGCGCTGAGCAGAGGGCTCCTCCGTGCTTTCCATATTTGGAATCAGTGCTTTTTTTCCTTCCTCCTCTCCCGGCCTGACTGCAGGGCACCATGGGGGCCTGGTGCCTCTCCCGGTCCAAGAGGAGGGCATAGAGCCGAGGCCAAGCAGGTAGGCCCAGGATCTGGCTCAGAAACACCCCCACCCCGTCCCACCCCCAAAGGAAGGAAGACACTGAGACTGGGAAAACAATGCCCAGGGCTTGGCAGCGCCAGCAGCTCTGGCTCAAAGGACAAGGGGCTTGAGGACCAACTGCCCCACCCGTAACCATGGAGATGAGCCCCACCCCTGTAACCATGGAGATGAGTCCCGCATCTCCTCCTACCTCCAGGGAGGTCCTCCCCACCCCCCACGGCGGTGGGCTCAGAGCTTTGGTGCTCACCGTGGACAGGGGGACAGGGACTGTCCCCACAGCCCCGCCGGAGCCGTGCGCGCGGCTCGGAGGTCGGAGGTCATCCAACATGGGCCAGTGTCAGCTGAGACGCACCTTTCCACCCGCGGCCTCTCCTTCATGCTGCCGAGTTTGCAACCTTGGGACATCTGGGGTTAGCATCTTAGCCTGGGCCTCCTCCAGGACCAGCTGGAGAGGCGTGGACTCAGGTGCGTGGCGTGTGGGACTGGTCAGGCTAGAGGCGGCCCGCCCGTGGGCAGGAGCTGGCCCTGGTGGGCTGTGTGGGGCCCGCAGACCAATGCCCTCCTTCGACCACACATGGCAGGGCCACCCAGCTGTCCTCTGCTCGGCTGCCTTTTCCCGGTGTGACGGGTCTCTGAGCAAGGCAGCTGGGATGCGGCTTAGGAGAAGGCCTGGTCCTGACCCCTCTCCCTCCCCGACAGGTGGGATGCTCCCTCCACCACGCACCACGCACCGGGCTCCCTGCCTCCCCCTCCGCCTCCAGACCCCTCGGGGCCCAGCGGCTGCCCTCTCTGGTCTCTGGCTCTTCTCCTCCCTCCTGGAGTCCATCCTCCTCTCTGGAACTAAAAGTAATGGAGGGGAGAGGAAGAGGCAGAGTGGGAGCTGGACCAGCCAGGGCACAGGAAATGCTGGGCCCGCAGGGCCTGGCGGGGGGCGGGCCTCAGCTCCCTCCCGAGGCCCCAAGCCTCGAAGGCTGTGGCGGGTCTGTGGAGGGCCAGCCTCCCCTCCGCTCTGGCCACTGCCCGGGGGACAAGGCCACAGGGCAGGCAGGGTCTTTGCCTGTCCCCGGGAGGTGGCGCGGGGACAGGGCACCCAGGGCCAGCTCCGCAGCTGACCCCCCACTTCCACCTTGGAAAATGTAAACGACGAGGCTGGGCTACAGAGGGGGGACACTTAATGTGCCGTGACCTCTGACCCCTCCCCCCAGGACCTGCTCCCACAAGCTGTGCCAGCCCTGGCCTGCGGAGGCCGGCAGAGCGCCCAGCACCGGCGTTTGGTGGGAACCGTGAGGGTCCCTGGGGGCAACGTGTCCAAGGTGCTGTAGACGGTAAGGCCAGCACCAGGGTGTGACCCAGCAAGCCGGCCCCAAGCCACCTCACGGCTCATCAGAACGAGAGCTCCGATCCTGCGGCTCCTGGCTGCAGTGCTGGGCTTCTCTGAACCTGTTTCTTCTCAGTAGAACGGGAAGCCACAGCTTTTCGGATCCACACAGGGCCCCCTGGGCCTGTGGGGGCTGGGCCTCTCGTGCGTTTCTGAGAGGAGAGTGGCGGACGCCACCCCAGGCTGCCCGGAGCGAGCTGTGAGCCGGGTGCAGAGGTGCGTGGACTGAGAGGAGTGGG